AATATATATTATAGATATGTACATACAAGATAGGTAACCCAATTATGCTACTGATTTCTTAGTTCATTGCAAAGATGTTTGTGCTTACATTGGTTGATTGATTCTGCATGCCTATGTCTTGTAATCTGAGCAACTATGAAACAATACACACTATATTAACCATTATTAATGTATTATCCCGTTTTGAAACTCTGTATCACTGTTTTTATTTCTTTTTTTTATCTTTCTCTCTTTAAAATAAAAAAAAGAACAGTCTCTCTTGCCTGCCCTGCAACAGGAGGTACAGAATTTTCAGGAGAGCACTGCCTTTTTCCTGTGTCCCCTGAGAGGATATCAGAGCCTGTTCTGAGGATCAAACTCTTGGTGAGAGGAGCATAGACGCCTGGGATCAGTTACGTCCAGGTGAGAGGCTGTTGTGATACTCAGAATCACACTGCGTTGAGAAGATCTTAGAATGTTCTACGAAAGCCTCTCTTGGTGGACCTGCACTTTACAGTGGCGAATTCTCAGGAGAGCACCACTTTCTCCTGCATAAGAAATGAGACTCAGAGACTTTCGCTATGGACTTTGCTTGATGTGGGCAGAACAAAAGTCTAAGGTGTTGTATGTCAAATGAGCCTGCCTCAGGGGAAAAACATCTCAGGGAGCACCCCTTTCACTCGGCACCAGGAGAGGAGGGTCAGGACCTAGGTGTGAGGACTGAGCTTCAGATGGGAGGAGCAGAGAGGACCTGGGCTAGGTTAGCTCAAGATGGGGCCCTGAGTTCACAGTGAGGAAGCCTGAAGGCAGGGACGGAGTCCCCAAACAAACCAGATCAGTCTCTGTTGCAGCCTAGCTCCCCACGGGGAGAATTTTCAGGTTATCATGCCCTTTTGAATCAGGGCCCCAGGAGAGGAGACAGACAGCCTTGCTTTGAGATGTGTGTTTCAGGTCTAGGCAGCAGAGAGGACTGGGCTCAGTTATGTTACAGTGAGAGGAAGTGGGCCATTGTGGCATTTTGAGTTAGTTTAGTGCATGGTGAGTGACATGGGTCTAGCTTCCACCTTCTGTATGTAGATAGCCCATTTTCCCAGCACTGACTGTTTAAGAGGCTAGCATTTCTCCAGGGAAAGTACACGGCCCCTTATCAAATATCAGGTACCTGAGCTTGTTTGCCATTGCTTCAGTACCCTCTGTTCAGTTCCATTCATCCGGAAGGCTGTTTTTCCCAAGCATTGTGCTTTTTTTTTTTTTTTTTGCCATGTTTGTACTTCAACTTGAAGTCTGGGATTGTGATGCTTTCTGGCTTGCCCTTGGCGTCTAGAATTAATTGAGTTTTTCCAGGTCTCTTCTGGTTCTATACAAATGTTAGGATTATATTCTAGGATTCTTTCAGGAATAGTATTGGTATTGAGGCTGTGTTAAATTTGTATACTAGTATTTCTGGTCTGATGCCCATTTTGACTATATTCATTCAGTCTCTCCAGCAATGGGATATCTTTCCATATTCCAATATCCTCTTCAGTCTCATTTCTCAGATTACTGTAGTTTTCAATGTAGAAGTCCTGCACTTCCTCAATTAGGTTAATTCCTATGTATTTAATTTTTCTTGATGCTATTCTGAAAGGTATTATTTCACTCCTTCCTTTCTCAATGAGTTTATTACTGGTATATAGGGACCCTATGCATTTTTGTCTGCTGACTTTTAAGTTGCTATGCTACTAAATTTGGCTATTAATTTTTAGAGGTTTTGGTAGATTTTTGGGGGGGTCTTCTCTATGAAGTCTCATGTCATATTCTTCATTTCCGGTAAATATGTCTTTAATGTTTTTCACTTGCCTGACTGTTCTGACTGGTGTGTTGTGATATATAACAAAGACACATAGTCACAGCAGAAATCCCTGTCTTCTTCCTGATTGTAGTGGAAAACCTTTCCATTTCTCACCATTTAATATACTTTTGGCCACTGATTTTTCATGGAGCATTTATGAGATTGAAATATGGTTCTTCTTTTTGATTTTTATTCAAGATTCTCATCATGAATGGACATTTGATTTTGTCAAGTATTTGTTCTGCATCTATTAAGATGGTTCAGCATTTTTTAATTTGTTTCTGTGTATATAGTGCATTTTATTTTCTTTATTTGGCCATGTTAAACCAGCCCTGCATCCCAGAAATGAATCCTGGGGGTCATGATGTATCATCTCCTGGAAAATTTGGTGCATTGCATTTACTGGTGTTTTACTGATGATGTTTGCATCTATGTTCACTAAAGAGATTGCCCTGTAGCTTTCTTTTTTGCTTGTCTCATTTTCTCTTTTCAGATCAGAGTATTGCTTCTTTTCAAGCATCACTTTGGAAGTACGATTTCCCTTTCAATTTCATTAAAGAGTTTGAGGAGCATTATCTCTAGGTCTTTTCTAAATTTCTTCAAGAGTTTGGCAGTGAATCCATTGGGAATTTGAATTTTCTTATTTGGAGATAAGAAATTTATCTTTCAGGTTCATTGACTGACACTAGAATCATGTGCCTGTACTCAAACCACGGCATAAAATTTCACCCTCTGCTTTCTAGGCTTTCTCTTCCTCCTACCCTGAAATCCAGACTACTTCAAAGAGAGTCCTCCTACTGCAACACAAAGACGTCCCCAGAATTCTCAAGGTGTCTTCTCTGTCCCAGTACCATGACCTGGACTCAGAGGAACTTATCCAGTGAAGATGCCAGTAGCAAGAAAAGCAGGCTCTATGCAGCTCCCAGGATGTGCTAGTCCATCTTATGCTGCACCATGTGTCACTAGATGACATGATCACTGAAATGTTGGAAATCCGGCTCCTTAGGTATCTAAAGAAGCAACTGACCATGAGGCTAGAATTGCTACACAATGTCGACCAAAGTTTCAGCAAGGAATTCCCTCAGATCTTTAGGGAAGTCCATGAGTCCATCTGTGGGTGTTTTGACATTGACGTGTGGGAAGTGGATCTCCATATGTAAATATATGCCCTTCCCCTGTCTGGGGCCTCACTGTAATGGATGCTGGGGGCTGATAAGCAGATCATTCAAAAACCAAACTCCTGTTACTCATCCTATTATCTTCTTGAAGGACAAAGGCACCAGTGAGGAGGACATAAGGGAAGTACTGAGAACCAGAGAAATGTTACTTCAGTGGGAGCTCTTTGTTCCTGGAGAAACTTGGAAATTCATCATGGAGGACTTTGTACAGGGAGGGTACATAGAGTATCAGCAAGTGACCAATAGTGTTCCTGCTCAGTGAGACCCTGTGAGGTACATGGACCCATGGTGAAACCAGCAAGATGAAAGTCCTAGAACATTTGGCCAAGGTTTATAGGAGAGGTCCCAGGCCAACCCCAGGTCTATGAGAAGGGGCTTTGAGTAAGGAACAAGAGGCTGCCCACGCATGAGGTATGGGCCACTGACGGGGCGAAGTGCATGCCAGGACAGGGATTCTCCACAGCCCTGTCACTCGCTGAGTTTTGCCTGCTGTGAAATGAATCCCATTCTCCAGTGTGTATTTGTGGAGAGCAGGCTGTACTACTTAGTGAAGAGCCAGAGTATGAGGTGACATACAGTGCATTCCATCTAATGGCTGATCTATTTGGGTTAACTTTGAAATTGACAAATGTCTTCTTTAAAATGTTGAAATCTTGCTCCATTTTTGCAGCATCAAAATTGATTGCCCATCTTGTTTGATGAATGATATTGATCTCATATGTAGGTTTATGTCTGCGATATTTATGGTTTACTGTGATTTCTGTTGTGAACTTGATATTAATAATGCATGAATATTCTCTTCCATTCCAAGTATAAAAGTCTTTTTTTGTCAAACCAGCTTGGAACCCTTTATCTTCACTTGTGGTAAAATAGAAGTGGAATGGAGATTTCCTTGCAAAAGTTTAAGAAGTTTACAGCAAGTTAGATGGAGCGCAGAAATAGACATGAGGATAAAAATCAATTCTTGGCTTTTTTATGTCTTCTCCTGTGTTGATCCATAGTATTTAAATGTATATGTACACTTGAATGCTCTTGGTTTCTTCAATTATGCTTCGGAAATTTACTGTCAGTAAAGCACTCTATCTACTGATGGGTACATTGACTGTCAAAACTTCATTGCACTCGTTTCCTTTGAAAGGCCTTGAGTATGTGGTGGAGATATGAGTACATGTTATGGTTTGTGTGTAGAAAAGCCTCATGCAGTCATGGGGCAAATTTCTAGAGTTTGTGATGGATTCATGGTCAAGTGCTGGGATTATGGATAGTTGCAGCTTGCATACAGTATAAGAGAGGGAAGGAGGTTTACTCTCTTCCACTCCTTTCTCTTTGTTCTTCCTGATCTTGTTGTGTTTTGCCACCACGAACTTTTGCCCACTCTGATGTGCCACCCTGCCTTAAAGCCAGCTGATCATGGACTGAAACCTTCAGCAACTGTAAGATAAATAAATCTTTCCTTTTTTAATTTTGTGTGTGAGTTATTTTGTCTCAGCAACAAGAGAAAAGTACCCAAGACAGTACCCTAGTCTGCGCAGGACTAAATTTATCTCCTGGATGTACCATCTACCAACTACCAGTGTCAGGAGATAGAGTGATGGCCTGAAGGACCTGAGTGGCATGCAAAAGAGCCTTAAGTAGAAGTGGTCTAGCAGAGAGCAGCCAGGGGTGAGTGCTGAGCCAGGGCATTTGGGGGTTGGGGTAACTGCAGTTCCTTTTGAAGGAGGTGATATTAGTGTAGCTGCAAGATGAACAGGGCCAGACAGTCAGATGAGGTGTTTTGGGCCTGAAATGAAAGCCTGAGAAGAGGGAAGACTGCACTGGGCAGCACTTTTAGATGGCTGGTGAAACTGAGAGGAAACTTCATGTGGGACAGCTATGAGCAGAGTGGTCCTAAGCAGGGAAGAAGCAGGAATCTTATCCGCAGCCTGTGCAAGGATTTCCTGAGAGATAAGGGGGCACACTAGGGTGAACAAAAGCCATAATGTCTCTGGCAAAGTGCTCTATTGTCTGCTCAGGCTATTGTTTTGAGATTTATATTGAAAAGGAGTAATGATAGCAGACATTCTTGTCTTTTCTTGGCTTTATAGGAAAAGTTTGCAGTGTCTTCCCATATACTATGAACATGACCATGAGGCTACTGTGGATGGTGTTTATCAGACTGGCCTTCAGTTTTTCTACACCAACTTTTCTTCAGGGATTTAATCATGGGGGTGTGTTAGATTTTGTCAAATGCTGTCCTGTGTCTATTTATATGATCATGTATTTTTGTCCTTTCTTTTTGTTATGGAATGGATTCAATTTTTGTTCTGAGCATGTTGTAGCATACCTGTATACCTGGAATGAATCTCACTTCATCATGTTCTACAAACTTTTTGTTGATTTGCTGCATTGTGTTTGCCAGGTTCTTACTAATATCTGTGCACTCATTTTCATTAAAGTTACTGCAGTTCTGTACTGCAGTTCTCTTCTTCGACTGGACTCTTCTGGTTTTGGGACCAGGGTAATGCTCACTTCCAGGAATGACTTTGGGATTCCTGATTCCCCCTCAATTGCATTAAGGAATTTGAGGAGTATTTGGCATTAGAACTTCTTTGAAATTCTTGTAGAATTGGGCAGTGAATCCCATGGGCCATGGACCTTTCTTTGCTGGCAGTTTTTCATATCAATTCTTGAATTTCATGGAAAGATACTGATTTATTTGGAATTTTATATCTTCTTGTTCCAGCTTGAGAGTTTATATATATCTAGAAATTTCTATATTTCTTCTGAATTTTTCAGTTTATTGAGTTCTTTTAAATATTTACAAAATTAGTACATATTTTCAGTATATAAAGTTTCCAATTATCTTGGGGGTCATTAATGGACATACCACAGTATGGATAAGACTTTTTTGAAATTCTCTTCCTACTCCTTCTAACCTCCCTCCTATTCTAATTTCTCTATCCATATTTTCATTCTTGCTGATTGCATTACTCTTAGCCCGTATTATGGCATATGCAATTTATTTTCATTGATGTTCAGGTTCCTGTACATGGCATATCTTAATTCTACTTATTTTCAGCCCCTGTTCCCCTCACCCTTCACCCTTGTTCTCTTGGTCCACTTCTGTATTGCAAGAGATCCATCCCCTTCTCCCCTTCCATCCATCCTTTATTATTCTTTTAGTTTTTGCTTTACCTCCCCCAAATGAGTGATACCACATGGTTTTTAAACTTGTGTGTCTGCTTTAGTTGACTCCACATTATATTTTCAGGTACATTCATTTTTCTAAAAGTATCTCAGATTTTTCATCCTTCATAGCAAATAAGTATTCCGTTATACATAGATAGCACATTTTCTTTATCCAGTCATCTATTGATGGTTATGGTATGCAGGCTGCTTCCAGTATTTTTCTTTTACAAATTGTGCTGCTGTAAGCATTGGAATGCATGTATCACTGTAGTTTAAAGTCTTAAGCTTTGGGGGGAAAATAACTACCAGGGGAGTTAGTTGCGTTATATGGAATTTCTAATTTCATTTCTTTGAGAAATCTCCATAATGATTTCCATAATGCTTGCACTAGTGTACATTAACACCAGTAATAAAGGATGATTCCTTTTTCCCCAGAGCCATGCAGGCATTTGTTATTGTTTAATTTCTTAATGATTGCCATGGCTTCTGAAGTCATATGAAATATTACTATTGTTTTAGCTTGTACTTCTATAATGACCAGTGATGTTAAACATTTTTCCATATATTTGTATTTCTTCCTCTGTGAAGTGTCTGTTCATCCCTCTTGCCCATTTCTTGACTGGGTTTTTAATTGTAGGTGCTTTACTTTTTAAAGTTTATTTAAAAAATAAAAGAAGGAAAACATATTAACAAACAGATTCATTCACAAAACAGCATAAAAGCAATCTAAACAATACAGAGTTACAGACAAAGTGGTAAGAAATTAACAATGGTTGTTGTAGGAGGTATGATCGACATTGTGAAGCAAAAGGAAAATGCTCAAAAGTAAAGGTGTTTAGTTTTTTAAAGCTCCCCTGCCGTGGCACTCTACTTCCACTCCCCTCTTCCACAATGACCTTTCTTCCTTAGACATCCCTGTGTCAGACGTTTTATCCAAAGGGTAACACTCTGTGGTTGGTCTAGGAAGTGTGTCCTGCCTGTGGTAGAGACTGAGGTATGACCTGACAGAGTAGAGAGGGGTCCCTAGACAATGTCTTTCAGCACCTCCTCTCAGCCCCGTGAAGTCTCTTGCAAGGTACTGTGTATGACATCCAGTGACTTCAGCCTGTGGGGCAGAGAGAGGTGACAGCCTTGTTCTGAGATCTACTGATTAGGTGACGGGAGCAGAGGGAACCTGTTCCCTGGCCAGGTAAGGGACCAAGGGACCTGAGGAAGCCCCACCCCAGAGAGAGGGTCTCTGAACAACCAAGACCCCTCTCTGGTGTCAGACCTGAAGCACAGGGGAGCCCCCTCCCCTCTTTGGCCTCAGGGACCTGAAAGTCACAACCTTGGTGTGTGGGGTACACTCAGGTACACAGAGATGTGGAATTCAGGCTCTGGTGGCAACTTAGTGCCAGACCCATAGGAAAAGAAGTGACCCCCTCCCTATGCCAATAACAGAGCCCCATGGGTGACCTCTCTACTCCCATTATCCTGCCTGGCAACCCCTGGGCATGGTGCCTGGATGCAAGGTTTCCCCACTTCCACAGATCAGGCCC